TATATGGTGATGGCCTATGTAGTGGTGAATTATGTGTATGTTGATTTGTATATGAGTTAAAGTAAGAATCTCACCGATGGATGATTGGATGATTTGTTGTCATGAAAAATGATAATAAAATTCTTTTGAATTATATAAATGATAATTTAATCCCTTAAAATATCATAATATTAATAAAGTCTCTAGGGATCTCTTTATCAATAACTTTTTTAGAGAAAAGATTATTTTACCTTTATTGACAAATTATGATTTATTATTCAATTCTTGTGATTTATTAAAAAAAAGTTGTAATTCTTTAAACAAAAGCTGTGAATAAAGTTTGTTATTTTAAAAACTTATTTTTTAATAATAGAAATTACACTTGACAAATTGTAATTTTTTATTCAACTTTTACAATTTATAAAATAAAAGTTGTGATTCTTTAAATAAAAGTTATGATTGAAGTTTATTTTTCAATAACAGAAATTACATTTGACAAATTATGATTTCTTATTTAACTTTTATGATTTATAGAATAAAAATTATGATTAGGTTTTGTTATTTTTAGTAAGAATAAAATAGTCTTGTTTCTAAAATAGTTATTAGCAAAGAGGTTCCTAGAGACTTCATTGATATTATAGCATTTTGAGGAACTAAATTATTATTTATATAATTTAAAAAGATTTTATTGCCATTTTTCCTTGCTATTATCTATAACACTTTAGATGAATTCTAGCATGTGGAGAAATTATTTAATGTGGATTACAATTGGTACGCCTACTGTGGAAAAATTATTATATTTGATGTTATTGTTGTTGGTTGATGATATTGGGAATGATTGGAGAATGATAATAGTGAGGAATTGGTGATGAGCTTGTTGAATAGTTTATTTTGACGATAATCAAACTTGAGAAAAGTTGTGTTTGCAAATTATAAAATCAATTATGAAAAACCCAATTCAAGAGAGCAAAGGAAAAAGAATAAGAAAAGACTTAATGTCATAAGCTTTATTTTATATTTCTCTTAGTTATTAATATTGAAAACCTATTTAAACAAGAGAGTTTGCATTTGCATATCATAATAAAACATTTTTTAGAGATAAGTCTTAGCCCCACACACACAGTTATAGTTTTAAACTTAAAAAATATCTATGTGCATTGCATACTACAATTTCACCTAAGTGAGTTATGATACCTAATAGACAACGAATTCAAATAACTCGTTTAAAAGTTACAATATTTTAACATATCCATTTAAAAGATATCTTATATTTGTCTTCAAGTTAGCATTGGATAATCTTTTTGTAGTTTTTTTTCCCTGATTCTTGCCCATCGTAGGACATGTTGAATGGCATGATAAGAAGGACCGGTAAATAAAAAAATGAGACATTTAAACACATGAAAACTTTGATAACATATGCTTAAAATCAATTTTATAATCTTTGGATTAAACAGGCTTACCCATGGATTATACGAGCTAGCCTTTTTTTTTTTTTACCTTCTTTAAATTCTTTTTTTGTTTTTATAACTCTTTCTTTAAATTCTTTACTGTCTGTGCATGTGAGATACAAGGTAAATTCATGGAAACAAATATTGTACATTCTTTTTTTAATTAGAAAACAGATGCTCCATTTGGGGCAAAATCAAGAGGACTGTTTTTTTATTTGTGTATTGAATTTAAAATTTCAAGTGGCAGAAAAATTTGACCTTCAATAAATAAAAATTCATAAATTATATAAAGAAAGTTATAAAATTAAATTAAATTTTAATGGTTTCTATAAAAATAAACAAAAAAAATATTATATAATACTAATTTTCTGGGACTCTGAATTCATGTCTTACATTGAGCTTAAAAAATGGAGGATAATGTTTATACAAATAGTGCAGCTTTTTTTTCAAGTAAAATTAGAAATATCTTCGGCCGATAATAAAGATTAATATCTGTTGGGGCTGGGTACAATGATGTTGATTTATATTTTATATTGATGATCACTATTGACATTCATTGATAATTTGTAACAATTTAAATCTCATATACTAAGGGTAAATTACAAATTTATGATTTCCTCATCTGTCCTCTTAGGTTCAAGTTGCTTTAAAGAATTTGGTAAAAAAAATATTTGTTTAAAAATAATACTTCTCAAATGTGAATTTAAGAAATTGTAAAGTCAGTTTGTAAGATATGAATTATTTTTATAAAAAATATAACTTTAAATTCTTGCATTTTGCTTAAATTTTGTTATAAGTTATTGTATTTTTGTTTTTTGGTTGTTTCAAGTTTTTTATATTTTTTTTAAGTATTTTAGATTCCTATAAAATCTTTTCATTTTATAGAGATTTAAAACATTAAGAAAAATATAAAAATTTAAAATTTTAAAAAAATTATAAAAATTTATAATAAAATTTGAACAAGGTGTAAAGATTAAAAATTGTATATCTTTTTATTTTTATTTTGAAAAACATGTTATAATGGAGCTGGTGTGGCGAGCACAATAAGAGTCCAATGATGGGCCCATAAATAATTCGTAGGAACGACTGTACAAACGGCGCATTCAATTACTGGACCCCATCCTGCTTAGGGTTTTACTTGAATTAGTATGTTCAATTTTATATTAATTTGAAGATCTTTATCTCAAATTACATCAAACTTGAAAATAATTTTGAATTAATATATTATACAAAAAAATTTAAGTTAATATTTCTCATTTAGTGTTGCTTTCGTAATACTTTCTTCATTTTTTTTTATAAAGGATATCTTTAAAGATTTTATATTTCAATTTATAAGACATTTTGTTAAAGTTAAGAGTAAATAATATATTAATCCTGAAAATGAAGTTGACAAATTTTAAATTAAATCTCATTAATTAATTTGGTTTATTCCTCATTAAAAAGTCAATTTTATGTAATAAAGAATATGTTTGGAAAGATTGGAACGTTGTAAGCACGGGCTTATGAAGTATTAGGGGGCCAAATTTTTAAAAAATAATACATAGTTGACTTGATTTAAAAAATATTTATCATAATTAATATTTTTAAATAAATATATTATTTAAAAATTGTTAGCTAATACTCTTGAAATAGAAACTATACAAATAGAAACTATGTACATAAGGCAGAGATAAAAGAATTTTTTTTATCTTATTTATAAGGCTTGTTATTAACTTTTTATTATAAGTTTTTCTCTTTACCTTCTATCAAATGTTAGTAAGATAAAATAAGTTATTAAAATATATATATATATATTTAATATAGACAAAGTTAGAAAATTATTAAATTTTTAGAGAAGGTTAATGAGTTTAAAAATTTTCTTTAATTCTAGTAAAACATGTTAGAAATTAGAGGAAATATATTTTTGTAGTAAAAAAAATATAACACACTCTCCTCGTTTAGTATGCTATAAGACACTTTTAATTAATTCATACTTTCAAGATATAAAGGCAGGACATTAACTAACTTATTAATATAAATTTGTTAAAAATATCGTATAATCCTAAATAAGAGAATATTATTCTTATAAAAGAATTATAAAGATCTACTAGAGTTTGATATAACTACTCAAATATATAATGAAAATTTGTATGCTGTCCTACGTGGAGGGATTGTGGAGTCATATGCAGTGTGATGTGTGTGTATAGAGTTGAAAATACTTTGGATGTGCTTAGTTGTTGGATATAAATAGAATGAAATGAAATAAGTTATGAAGTGATAAAAAGTTGAGAATGAGGATGGAGAATATTATTCATGTCAATCATCGTTCTTGTTTCTCTATCAATTTAAGATCTCTTTTTTCTATTATTCGTATACTTCTATTAATTATGAGTTTATTTTAGTTCATTTTTATCAATACATTCTATTTAATTTCTCTCCTTCCACTAAATGTCAATTTTATCGAATCAACTTACCCCTCCTCCGTGCTTGCCCCAGCTGGAGTAAATCTGAATTGTATATATTTAATTTGGACAGTCAGGTTTAATGTATTAATTTTTCTTTTTGTCTATATTTGTTTAAATTAAAATTTTATAAAAATTATAAAAAATAATAAATATTCTCACATAATTTAATATGTATAATCCAAATTTAAAATTAAAAATTTTTATAAATTTACTATCTAGATCTATTCTTAATAGTTCAAAATTACTATAAATTTTTTTTATTGAAGTTGGATAATTCATATTAAATTTAAAATGTCCAATTCAAAGAGCAGGTTTGATAAAAAAAATTTATAAATTTAATAAAGCTTTTATTTTAATAAATATAAAAAAAAATGATACAAGGGAGGCTTTTTGAAAGAGAGAAGCCGAGTCCCAATGTTACAACTGTAAAAACAAAAGTATTTTCTCCAAAATCAAGCGGACATTCTTGTTCTCATCCTAGTTCCTATGCCATTTATAAATCACAACTAATAACAATTTATCATTTTAGAAGCCAATTCATTAACATCCTGCTTTCATAGTGATTCTTTTTTTTTTTTCAATATAACATCTAGTATCCAACCCACTAACTTGGAGATCAAACTAATTCAGATTGATATAAGGTTAGCCCATTTCTAGAGGAAACCTATACTACACCCCTCATGGGAAGATTTATCATGCTGGCTGCATTCTCAAAGTTTTAAATTCAAGATTTTTGGTTAAACAAGGATGACCTCATACCAATCGTTTGGTGGTTCACAGTGATCATTTCAATTGTGAATTTAGTTCCAAATGCAATTCAATTATGAGACATTATGATTAACGAACAGCCAAGAAGCAATCTTCTCTATATTAGGGTTTCTCCTTACTATAACTTCTGCAATTTATTGCCAACTCACTTAACAGAAACATCAAGAAAATACACTCAAACTCGTGTGATTTTGTTAGAAGCTAACAAATCAAAAACCAAACCTTATTACACAGCTGCTAACAAACTGATAATCCTGCAAGATGAAATCTTTGATATACAGAAATGCTAGTATCTTACCAAAATTATAGTGTCATTTTACACTATTCTCATTCATCTCTTGATTCTTCTCATCTTGTTTCTTCACTGTTTTGATCTGTGAGTACGATCCTTCTGGGTTTCTTCCAACGACCCTGCAACTTCACGGCTTTGCCCTAATTGCTGCTGGTAAAACTGGGCCATGGCTTCCGATGATAAAACCCTAAAATTACCATCCTGTGACAGACCCAGTTCTAAACCTGGAGCTTGATGCTCTGGTGCTTCCATGAAACCTGATGTGTTCATTCGACCAAAGTCAAAACCAGAACATGAACTCAAATAACCACAGTTTTGTACAATCCCTGGACTGATTCCAGTTATAGTTTGCCAAACTCCATGGATGACTGGTTGTTGTGTTCTTCCCAAATTCCCATTCACCTTCGTCCAGCTTGGCCCTAAAGATTCAACCTTTGCTTGTAAACCACTTGAAACAGAGCTTCTCTGTTCAGAAACAGAGGGCCCTACTTCTGATAGATCCGATGCCGGGATTGTGCCACTACCGGTGGCGGCGACGATGGACGGTTCTGCTTGTTGAAGAAGCCACTGAATGGTCTCGCCGTCGGACTTGTGACCCAGTTCTCTTGTTAACTGAAAAACCCTAGCCGCGCACAGAGCTGGCATCCTTATTCTTCTGCCTCTGCCATTAACCTTCTTGTGACGGTCCTTTCTGGGAACTTTCTTTGGTGTTTCCTCTAACTGTTTCTGATCATCGTCTTGGTTCGCAATCATAATCTGGAAATCTTTGATTTCTACTGCTTTGGGATCTGTCATTTTTTTTTTTCCTTCTGTGATTTGTTTGTTTGTTTGTTCGTTTGAAGATGAAGATGATGACAGTGGTGGTATAATGATGGAGGCTCCTTCATCCTTTGATTGAAGTAGGTGGGGATGTGCTCAAAACACCTGGACAAGTCGGAATGACTTTTTTATTTTTTTATTTTTATTTTCTTTGACCCACTGATTTATGCTAATGGAATAGCTTCACGTGCCAAACAATTCAATTACAATACACGATTTGATTCTGCTGTGTTGCGCCGTGCTCTCCTGTCAAATGAGGAAAAAGGAGAAGACAACATTTTTAGTACAACCATGCTAAGGGTTCAGACTTAGAGATAATCTCGGACATTATGTACAAGCGAGTGTACCAATAATGTTTAATCAAACTAAATTACTACAATCTTAAGGCAGATTTTTTTAGAATTATAGGACTTATTCAAAAATATTTTTGTTTTATTTCTATAAGAACTTATATTTTGTAAAACATATTTTAAGAAAAAAATAATAAAAATATATATTTTTTTTCATTTTTCCTTATTCTCTCAAGTAATAGTCTCATAACATCCAAAATATATTTCATTTTTCTTTTTTCCATAGCAATATTTGGTTTTTTATTTTTTTAAAACATGTTTTGAAAACACATTATCAAACAATTTTTTTATTTTTTATTTTTTGTCAAGAAAAATAGAAATTTTTTTTCATAATAAATTGCTAGTGTAGATTCCATTTGCAAAAATAGCAATCTAATCAATGCATGAATTCATATCCTTCGTTAAGAGGTTTATAATATCACGTACAATGTTGAAAGTCAGATAGCTTTTGTCATGAATATTTATGATTTCAAGGATAACCTTCAAGAAGTTAGAGCAAAGCTTAATGTTCACTTGTTCATGTTATTGTAACTTCCTTTTAGTTTAGCGAAATTATATGTGAAATTTTAATATTTATATATCAAACTTCTGCATATATATGTTGAGAACTTTGTGAATAATTAATTGTTAGAAAATTTAATCAATGTTTATAATTTTTACTCAATATAACTCTAATTTTTAAACTTTAATTCAATATAACTCAATTGATATAGTTTTAATTATTTAAAATATTATCCTTTATATTTTTAAAAATAAAATTATAAAGATTAAAATTATTTTTTAAAATGTAGAGACTACTGTATCAAATTACTGAAATTATAATAACTGAATTGTGTTGAGTTAAAATTCAAAAACTGTATTTAATTTGAGGTAAAATTATAAATATTAAATTATATTGAGTTAAAAATAAATTATAATTGAAACAAAATTATAAAAAAAATTCTTTATATAGCATACATCCCTCTGTTCAAAAATATAAAATATTTTTTGAAGAGTTAAATGTTTAAAAATATAAAAAAAATTTAATCTTTTAAAATATAATTATTACTTTTTTAAAAAAATTTTTTTATTGATGATGATTTTATATTTATTATAAAATATTTAATAAAAATAAATATAAAAAATAAAATTAATTTAAAAATAAATAATTATATTATTAAAAATTAAAATTAAATTAAAAATATTTTATATTTTTAAATAGATGGAGTACTTGTAATTTTTATGATAAAGTTTCATTGGAGGACTTTTTATTCATTTGTATTCAAAATAAAAATAGAAAGGGTATTTTTTTTTTTTTTTCTTTTACGGCTCTCAGGAAATGATGAGGAACCAATCGGTAACAGTTGTGGTCATGATAACACTATCATAAGGGGTCCCACTGGGAAGATCCTTGGGGCCCACGAAAATATTCGCTTTGGATGTGAATCCAAACTTGATGAACAAAAATGACAGTCTTCTATGACCGAGGCAGCAGGTGTTTTTGCTTTAGTAGGTTTTGAAATTTGACAAAGAAACAGACCCTAATTAAGCCCTTTTGTCGGACCCTAATAGCCTAAATCCCTCTATCTATTGGCCTAAATCAAGACAATGCGATTGCAAGCTCATTTCTTTCTACAAAACTTTGACCTGCATCTACATTGTGTTGGTCCGTACATAAAAAATTTAAAGGTAAAATTATCCCTAACAACCTCGCCATAAATTTATTTGTTAAAAAAGGCTTGGATTATATTCCAAAATTGGATCCTTCACTGGCGTAAAACTGTTGAGAGCTAAGTAACATAAATGTCCTTATTATAAACAAAAAAGAAGCAAAAATAGAGTAAGATCCTCTGTTGTCAATATTTTATATAAGATCCTTAGTTATTAATATGTTGCACATACACTACTACAAACAAATAAATTTACATCAGTTAAAATAACTTATCTACACTAATTATTTAACTAGTGTAGTTATTAGACAATCTACATCGATTATAAATTTGGTATAGATAACCTAAATTATGTACTTCCTCCAATCCCATTTATAAGTCACATTTTAAAAAGTATATTTCGTCCCATTTATAAGTCACAGTATAACTTTTTAAGTAATATTTAAAATGTATTTTCAAAATTACTTTTCATGAGAGAGAAAAAGAAACATAACATTACTTTTTGGATTTTTTATATAGGGACATATTTGAAATTTTATACATTTTTATTTCTTATACTTTTTTTTTTGCATTGGTATTGATAAAATTGATAAAAATGATTTATAAAAAGAACCGGATGAGTATATTAATTTTTTTAAAAGATACAATATCCACATCAATTTTGAGAATAACCAGTGTAGACATCTAAGTCATCTACACAGGTTATGGGCATAACTGGTGTAGATGACTTAGATATCAACATCGGTTATTCCCAAAACCAGTGTAGATGACAAAATATCTACACTAGTTCTAGGAATAATTGGTGTAGATATGTTGTTATCTACATCGATTATGCCCATAATCAGTGTAGATGACTTAGATATTTATACCAATTATTACCAAAATTGGCATACACAGTTCATTTTTTTTAAAAGAACTCTCATGTTTTTATTTACCCCAACCATAATAGGTTGCAATTTAAATCCTACATTACTCAAACATCCAATAACCAAACAACCAGACAACAACCAGCAATACAATCATATATTATTCCAATCAAATGAATTTGAAATTATGTACAATTTCAAACATATAAAATATAAATTGTCAACTAAGTAATCCTACATACAACTATATATATCCATGTTTCACATCTCACTCTTCCAAAGGATGATTATTATGAATATTCAATATGAAGAGTCTCCAATGTTGCTTAATTTAATGGATCTTTGAATTTGAAAATGGTGATAGATCATTAAACATATGAAAAAATTAGGGATAAGGGAATTAAATTAGCAATTTGAAAAAAAATAACACCTAAAACTAGGTTTACCTCCTCAATGAACTCAGTCAAGCCAGCAATGATATTGTATGTATGTCTCAACACATAAAAACTACATAAGTTAGTAAGGGGTTGCTAATGGCTTTGTGGAATAACACAACATTGTCATAATTATATTGAAAGAAAGCTTTATCATTAAAATGACATAGAATAAAAACATGCACAACTTGTTACCTTTGGTGTCATCCATGTAGGATCATTGACATCACGTTGGGCCTTGCCTAACTTAATTTATTGGCCAATTCTCATAGCCCTATCATCAACATGACATAGTAACTTAGTGACTAAAAAAATGTATTATAAGACTCCTTAAGTAAGCTTACTGCTCACAAGATTTCTTCATTGTCGAATTGAGTTTACGATACAGAGAACATAAAAAGATTATAAAATTGCTCTTTATCAAAAACACTATCAATTACGAGTGTATACTGCAAAATAATAAAGTGACTTAAGCAAATATTCGATACCATTGTGAACAAATTCAGACATATTTACTTACAGATTGAGAAATATGAAAAAGTAACACTCCTTTTCTGCCTTCACTGGGCCTCTAGTTCATATATGCCTCCTTTACCTCTTTGGTGGTCTCTTTATCATTAGTGTAACACAGAAAAAGAAATTCATATTGTTTATCTTTGCCCAAGGAAATTAATAATTGATGCAAAATCCTATGAAAGCTTGGGATTGTATCAATCATGCATCACTGCGCATATTATTGTGTGCTTGGGGTTGCTTAAAATCCTCTTTACCCACATCACAAATCATGTCTTCTAATCAATCAAGCATATCATCATCATCATCAACAACAACAACATCAACATCAACATCAACTTCCCGTGACAGAGATGCACTCGGTATTAGAATGTTCAGTCTTTCACCATGCCATATCCATACTCTATAACTGTTGGATGGGAGGCACAGCAAAAAATTAAAATTTTAAAGTCCCTATCTTGATATGGATCGAATGAACACGTTTAAGTTAAGGTAGATAGTAGAGTTATCTTTTAATTCTTCAAACTTAGCTCGTGTTCTCTTTAAAAGTTTGGATCTGAGAAGATGACAATATAGATATACTCCCTCTATTGGTATCCACATGAATAACTCTCTAACTCGAACAGTATGCTAGCACTCCCAACATTCGTTCTTCTTAAACGTTAGTTTTTCTTTTTATAGGGTGTTTTTTAGTTCCCAAGTGTTTTTGCCATCAAAACTTTTCTAACTGTCTCTTACTTTATAAAGGACGTTTCTATTTATATATAGTATATGGATAAGAGTTTTTATCTTTTACTTAAAAGCCCATAAAAATTTAATTAAATTTATCTTATAAATTTAATTTATGATATTATATCTAATTTAAATTTATCTTATAAATTTAAATTATAAAACTGACATGATATTCTCTCATATCATGTTCGTTATTAAATTTAATTTATTATATAAAATTAAATTTAAAATTAACACAATATAATATGATATAATATGATATATATCACATGTACATATTATATTATATATATATACACACACACACACGAATATATAAATACATACATACATACATACATACATATATATATATATCAAAAATATTATATATATATATATATATATATTTAATTTTATATATCACATACATACATACATATATATATATTA